GGCGCCTAACGACTTCCAGGGGGGCGATCCAATCCCGCCCACCGTCGTGCAGCCCGCCAGACTGCCCGAGGCGCCGCCGTTCGCGGCGCCGTTCTACTACGGCATAGAGGCGGACATGAACACGGCGGAGGGCAGCATCAGCAACGCGTCGTACGCCTGCATCGGCTAGGGCCGTGAGGAGCGGGACTTCAGGGACACCCAGTGGCCAGAGGAGCTCAGCTACGAGGAGACCGAGGGCGAGGCCCGCGCTAGGCGTAGAAGGATCAACCCAGAGGAGGAAGGCGTCTGCCATATGGAGGGCTGCGGGGGGAGGCTGCCGGAGCTGTCGACCCCAGTACTCTATTGCTGCAGGACGCGCTGGTACACTGCGGGGCGTAGTCACGGACCGGCGCGCGAAGCTCGGCATGCGCAGAGCGGCACGGGGAGTGGAGCCAGTGGGTCGGACAGGCGGGCAGGCGCAGTGGACGACGACGAGCGCTGGGGCAAGTGGGCGGCGGAGGGCCCGGACACGCCCACACCTGGAGCGGCCAGCTCGTCTGGCGCGGCGGCGGCACGACCTAAGGTGACGCAGGCCGAGGCAAAGGAGCGGGCGCGAGACAGGACGCTCGCCCCACGCCTTAACCCGGGGCGCCCTTACCTGGAGCATAGCGATCTGATGGGCTCTGGAAGCCGGGCTACTGCTGCGACAAGTGCGGCGGCCGGCACAACGGACAGGACTGAGCAGAAGGCGGCGCCAACCACTACAAGCACTGCGAGAAGGCGCCCCACGGCCAAAACGGGGATCAGCAGCCGAACGCGGGCGGCGGAGGCGGCAGCCAGAATCGGCGGAGGAAGAAGCAGGCCCCATCAGGCGATGTGGCCGCTGCGATCGAGGACGCCGCGGCTGCCGCCGCCGCTGCTTCTGGGAGCAGCGGATCGCCACCAGAGTGCCCGCCCCCGTCGCCGAACGAACTCAGGAGGAGGGAGAGAGAGGCAGAGACTCGAGTCAAGGCTCCTCCTCCTCCGGACGTCGAGGCGGCACATAGGGTCACTCGCAAGAACAAGCCGGGCGAGCGCGCCGAGCTGACGGCAAGGATGTCGCCGCCGACTGTCAAGGAGGAAGTGCACTCCGAGGGCGAGGGCGCGAAGGCATCAGCCGGTTCGGCGTCGGCCCGCGATGGCCGCAGGAGGCAGGCCGGGGGCGGCGCGCGCGAGGCGGCGGGGCGCATGTACAAGAGGCTCTCGGAGCGGGTGGAGGGCCGATCTACTTCGGAGCTGGAGGAGATCGACAGAGACTACCAGCGGGCCCTGACTGAGGCCCTCAAGGCGCGGATCCGGGACGTACGCAGCAGGGGGGAGAACGCCGTGCGGGAGCCGAGCGCCACTGAGGAACAGGAGAGGTCGAGGTCATCGGAGAAAAGCAGGCGCCCCCCGAGCCCTAGGCGGAAGGTGCGGTCTGCACCGCCGCGGCCTACGCGCGGAGCCGACTTCCAGAGGGCCAGGGAGCCGCTGCCGATGCCCATGCCCCGAGAGAGGACGTCTTCTCGCAACCCACCCCGGAAGAGCGTCGCCATCGTGGACGAGGGAGGGGCGGGTGCGTCAGCACCGAGCTCAACCGGGCCAGGGTTCCCGGGGGGCGTCCAGGAGGCCAGCCTAGCGGCCAGCAACGAGGCCAGGATGGCGGAGCTGCGGGCGCAGGCCATCATGATCAAGCGCAGAGAGGACGAGGCAGCCGAGGAGGCCCGGAAGGAGGAGGCTCAGCGCAGGCGGGCCCCAGGCGAGGAGGGCCCGCGCACAGCCCATGGGCCGATCCCGGGCGAGGACGTCGAGATCGACCCACGCGCGGTGGCACGCTACCTGGTGGACGTGCGAGGCTCTAGCGGCGCTGGGCCCAGCCAGGCGGGAACGACCGCGCGCGCATCTCGAGACCATGGCGAGGGGATCGGGCCGGCGTCGCGACTACGAGGCAGGTCGTAGACGCAGGGGCGGAGGCGGAGACCACCGCAGGAGCGGAGGCCTCGAGCAGACCGAGGCAGAGGAGGAGCTGGAAGCGCTCGCGCGGGTGCGGGGCTACCCGGACCAGAGGGGGGGTCGGCTCGATTGGGCTCCGGCAGCGTTGGGTGCTGACGAAGGTCGGTATCGCAAGGCAGGCGCGTCCACGAGGAAGGGCAAGAAGAGCAGCAGCAAGGGCCATGCCCCCTAAGAGAACAGGCCGTCCAACCTGCTGGACCCGGAGGCTGTGCGGTCCAGCGCCCGCCCAGGCGACCTCACTATGACAGACCTCAAGACGCGCGAGGACTAGGAGAGGGCCAAGCTGGAGCTCATCCTCGACAAGCTGGCCAGCTCCACCATGAAGTCGCACAGCCTGGGTTGGAGGTGGTGGACCCTCTTCTGCCGGACTAGGGGCACCAGCCCGCTGCGGGAGGTCACAGCCGCGAACAGGAGAGACGAGAAGGAGCTGCTGCTGGAGTTCGTCATTCACTTAGCGCGCCGAGGCTGCAAGAAGGCAGGGACCATCAAGCAGTACCTGAGCTCGGTTCGGGCTCAGCATCTCGCTCTCGGCATGGGTGACCCCACCGAGGGGGCTGGCAGGCTCTGGACGGCGATTGACGGGCTCTAGAGGCGCGACGGTGATACCAAGCGCAAGAAGCCGGTCACGCCCCGCATGATGAGGCGGATCAGGCGGAAGCTGCAGCCAGAGAGGACGAGGGAGGGCGCGGCTCTGTGGGCCGCGGTGGCCACGGGCTACTTCTTCCTGCTGAGGGCCAGCGAGTACGTCTCCGGCGACCAGAACGGCTACACAGGCGGCAAGGGTCTCCGAGGCGCGGATGTGACCCCCAAGGCGGGTGGGGAGCCCACGCGGGATTGGAAGGAAGCGAACGAGGTTGTAATCAAGATCAGGGCCAGCAAGACGGACCAGTACAATCGAGGAGAGTGGCGCAACCACTTCCGGGTCGAGGTTCCGTCGGGCGCAGAGAAGGACGAGCACATCTGCGTGGTGGAGGCGCTGGAGATCTACGAGGGATGGGCGCGAGAGCGCTTTTCGGGGACGCGCATGCACGACCCGCTCTTCGCCTACGACGACGCGCGTCTTGTCACGAGGGTGGACGTCCAGCGCGTGGTGATGCAGTCGGCCGCGGCGGAGGGCATGGGCCCGAACGATCTAGGCTCCCATAGCCTGGGGATCGGAGGAGCATCAGCGCTGTACGCGGCGTTCCAAGGACACAGCGCTCGTGCAGCGCTGGGGCAGGTGGAAGAGCGACGCTTTCCAGGGGCACCTTTGGGGGGCGCGCGGCACGGCGGAAGGAGTGGCTGGCAGCATGGCGGCCACGGACATCACAATGGTCTAACGGCCGAGCAGCCGCAGTAGCCTGAGGCTCGTGGCGCGTGGGCAGCTTGTGGTCGCAGGCCTCGAGCTGGGAGCGCAGGGGGGCGTCGAGGCCGGCAAGGCTGCGAAGGCGACCCAGTGATGGGCTATGAGAGGAGGAGGCACAGAGGTAGGTCTGCGGGCGAGGCGGGACGGACACCGCCGGAGGCCTCGAGAGGGGCGGCGGGGGAGGGGTAAGGAGGGACGAGTACCTCCGGAGACCCTGACGACAGCCTACCCTGAGCGCGTCAGATCCCGACCGCCCCATGGCGAAGTGCTGGGCAGTATAGGAGTGCTGGGCCAGAGTGGGGCCAGGTCCCCCCGCCTGCACGAGCGGGGGCCCTCGAGGTGGGCCCCGCGGCTCGAGGCGCAGCGTGCACCAGAGCACGGAGGGGACGAGGGCCGTCGCACCTGGGAGGGCGCATCGGCCAGAGCTCGCGCCTCGGAGGACCGAGGCGCCTTGTGCCGCGGGACAAAGGCCCCTCATCATCGGCATCCGAGGTAAGGTGAGGAGTGCCGAGGAGGAGGAGGAGGAGGAGGAGGAGAAGGAGGAGACGTAAGGCGGCCTGAGCGGTCCAGGCCTCGTGAGGCCAAAGAGCCGCGATCCGCCCGAGGTCGAGGGGCGGAGCTGTGGAGGGGAAACTCTGGATCGTCAAGACGCAGCAATCAGGTTGATACGTGGCGTTGAAATCCTGAGAACAATGTTTTGGCACGCTTCAGGACCTTCGAACTGTTGTCTGCCAACGAGGCAGTTCCCTCAATGGAAATGAACCGTTGTAGGGGCCTATGAAGGGGGAGTGTGGAGGGAGGGTTACTTCCAACATCGTAGATGACTCTTAGGTTTCCACTGGTCCTCCTCCTCCTCCTCCTCCGCCTCCTGCTCCCTCCTGCTCCTCCTTCCTCCTCCTCCTCCTCCTCCTCCTCCTCCTCCCCATTCTACTCCTCCCCGCTCGTCTCCTCACTCTTCCTCCTCCTGCTCCTCCTCCTCCTCCTCCGCATTTCCCTCCTCCTCCACCTCTCCCCTCCTCCGCCTCATCCTCCGCCTCCTCCGCCTCCTCCTCCTCCTCCTTCCTCCTCCTCTCCTCCTTATCCTCCTCTCCTCCTCCTCCTCCTCCTCTCTCTCCTCCTCCTACTCCTCCTCCTCCTCCTCCCCCTGGGGCTCTCCTCCCCTCCTCCTCCTCCTCCTTCCTCCTCCTCCTTCGGGTCTGGCGAAAGGGGATAGCAAAGGGTAGAAGGTCGAGAATCCAGCTCACGTAGCTGATTTTCCCGGGCCTCCCGGCGCCGAGGCGGCTATGTCTCCTATGTATCGAGGACTGGCCCCTCTTGAGGCCGAAACGTAGCTGCAAGTGCCGCAAATTTCGTAACCCCCCCTTTCCCATCCCCCCCTTTCGCCGGCCCGAGCCCTCCCCTCCACCTCATCTCCTTTTCCTCCTCTTCCTCTTCCTCCTTCTCTCTCCTTCTCCTCCTCTGCCTCCTCCTCCTCCTCCTCCTCCTCCTCCTTTTCCTCCTCCCCCTCCCCCTCCTCCTCCTGCTCCTCCTCCTCCCTCCTCCTCCTCCTCCTCCTCCTTCTCCTCCTGTTCCTCCTCCTCCTCCACCAGCACCACCACCTCCTCCTATTCATTATGGCACCCTCCTGCGAGGCGGGCGGGCCCGCCTTGCACCTGACGCGCCGCGACTTGCACGGCCTGGGTTTCGGGCGCCGCCTCCGGGTGCGCTCGGGAGTTGCAGGGCCAGTCCCGCCGCGCGGGCGGCCCCGTCGCGCTGGACCAGGCGGCGGTTTGAGGAGGGGGGTGGGGAGAGAGGGGGAGGAGCAGGAGGAGGAAGGAGGGAGGAGAAGAAAACGAGGGAGCAGCAATAGGAGGAGGAGAAGGAGGAGGAGGACCAATGTAAACGCAAGACTCATCAACGATGTTTGAATACACCTTCCCTCCAGTCTCCCTCTTCACAGGTCCCGAAAAGGATTCATGTCCACTGAGGGAAATGCCCCGTCGGCAGACAACCGTTGAAGATCCTGAACCGTGCCAAAACACAGTGCTCGGGACTCCAACGCCACGAACAAACCGCAATGTTGCGTTGTGACGATCCTGACTCGTGAAAGAACAACGTTGTTGGAGACTTCACCACCGCGAATCAACGAACTGTTGCGCCCCGACCAGACGCCATTTCTGGTACGATAACCATCGGAGTTCGTGAAATTCGTGGAACTGTTTCAAGCGATTGTATGCGGCGATACAGCGAGAACCACATTTTGAAAACAACCAGCCTCAATCCGTGAGAAATGTAACAAATGGTTGTCACGAGCGCGCGCGGCGCTGAGGCGAGAACGACAGGGGGGGGCTAGCGAGGGGGGGTAGCCAGGGGGGGTAGCGAGGGGGGTCCTGGGTCAGATACGCCGCCCTCCTGGGGATTCTCGGTCAGATACATCGCCCTCCCGGATTCGCAATGTCTCCTCTGAATCAAAGGGAAGCCCCTTCCCTTTCTTCCCTTCCTCGCGCGATGGGGGGGGGGTCCCGGGAGGGGGTAGCGAGGCGGGGTAGCGAGGGGGGTAGCGAGGGGGGTCCTGGGTCAGATACGCCGCCCTCCTGGGAGTTTTCGGTCAGATACATCGCCCTCCCGGGGAAAGATATCGGGCGACGGCCAAGGTCCATTACGCCGCCCTCCCCCACGTGTTCGTCGTCCCTGCCTGCTCCATCCATTAACTCCTGCTCCCCCTTCTCTACCTTTTCCATTTCTCCTCCGCATCTTCATGCTCCTCTTGCTCCTCCTCCCACCTGTTCCTCCTCCTTCACTCCTCCGTCTCCTCCTCCTCCCCGCCCTCTCCCCCCTGTTTCCCTCGAGAGCCGATGCCTGCAGGGTCTGCGGTACAGGCCGTAAGGCCAGCGCAATATAACAAATGGTTGTCACGAGCGCGCGCGGCGCTGAGGCGAGAACGACATTTTGGAAACGACCAAACGAAACGCCCGGCCCGCCTTTCCGACTGGTTTCGGGGTGCGGCAAGGAAAAGTGACTTATGCGGAAAACGAATGGAGGAGGAGGTGTTAGGTTGTGGATAATATTGCCGGCCTCCCGGCGCAATGCATTTAGAAGTGAATTGTGAATGAAGAGATAGAGCAGGGACGGTTGCTTGCCCGCTGACCTTTCTGGCTCAAGCTTGAAAAGTCGAATTTGGTAGCGGAGCCTGGTTCATTCCAGGCTTCATCCGCCTATCGCCTCTCCAGCGAGAGGCAGCGCGCGCTGATAGCGGCACGGACGCGCCCGCCTCAAGGGCTGCAACATCATCACGGTCAGCAACAGGACGAACATCACGAAAGATCACAGCATCGGCGACCAGCTCGCCGCGGACAACTACTTCCCCTAGCAGTTTGAGAACTACGTCGACATGTCAGAGCACACCAGGCTCCCACTGGACGCATATACGAAGGGCACACCGCCCGGATGGAGACCGGCACTCATGCATTACCCATTCAGAAGATATCTGGAGCGCCTTCGATTGTGGTATCGCATGACGGACTTGAATGCAGATCAAGTGGGCCCTGCCGTGGCAGGCAGGCTCCAAGGCAGACCTTACGATATGGCTCTCGGTCTGCAGGTCTCCACACAGGCGGGTGCCAATCTCCAGGGAGACGCGGCACTCGCATATCCTGGTGAACCTCAACAGCTCGACGGACAAGGCAACACCCGTGGCAGCGACCGAGAGCGGCATCCAAGTCCTGATCAGAATATTGTCTCGACGATACGGTGCAGACAATCAACAGATGGCCACCGGCACGATTGACCAGTTCTATGATTTGAGACGTGGAAGGCTTTCCCTCCTGGAGTATATGGCGGAGTTCGAGCACACCTATGAGGAAGCTAACCGTCTCGGGAATCTCAATCTGAATAACGTTGCTCTCAGCCATCATCTTCTCAAGCACTCGGGTATTGAGAAGTCGAAGCTGGATCATATTCTGCTCCTCGTGAACGGAGATCTCGATCGCCATGAGGACATCAAGGACCACCTCATGCGTTTGGCCAAGAGTCAGACACCAGCCCAGATTCCTGGCATTGGAGGTTACATGGCAGATCCTTACGACGACAATGACCAGAATGATGACAGCTGGTACGACGACGAATGGCAAGAAGATTCATGGTATGATGATTCGTGGAGCAGAGACACCTGGTACGGCGATCAGTATTATGATGACGGCTGGCAGGACGATTCTTGGTATGAGGAAGGCTGCGACTACGATGATCGACACTGCACCGACGAATCCCATGCAGAAGGCTCAGCTCCCGCCTCGCCACCAGCCTCGTCACCAGGCACTGTTCAGGACCTCGAGACCCTGCCCTCCGACGTCAACTTCGGCAAGAACCGCAAAGGCAAGTCTCGGGGCCGCAGCAAAGGCAAGACAACCAGCAAAGGCAAGAGCAAGGGCAAGAGCGGCGGCGGCCGCTCCAACAGGACTGGTTGTGGCAGATGTGGCAGCCCCAATCACAACACAACGGACTGCCCGTGGAACCAAGGTAAGAGCAAA